CATATAGTAATTCATCCCCCATATAGTAATTCATCTCCCATATAGTAATTCATCCCCCATATAGTAATTCATCCCCCATATAGTAATTCATCCCCCATATTAATTCATCCCCCATATTAAGTCCTGCTCCGCGCGTTCCTCTCGCCGTCTTCCCGCACCGTTCCGGTGTAGCATGAAAATCTGTCTCCTATGAGGATCTGTCCCCCTCGACGTATCTGCGCATGTGCCAGTTTCAGGCATTAGCAGCTGATCGTCGATCTCCGGCACATGCGCAGATACGTCGAGGGGGACAGATCCTCATAGGAGACAGATTTTCATGCTACACCAGTCTTCAGGGCGGACTGAGAGAGGAGCCTAGCGGGAGCCTAGCTCCGCGGGCCGGATTAAAAGGTCCGCGGGCCGTAGTTTGCCCATTGCTGGTCTAGTGGGTTCTTGGCCATTATTCAGCCCTTTGATCACTTTTTGCTGTACGAGTTGTTGTGTCAGAAACTTCCTGCTTCCTGATCCTCTTCAATATGGCCACCGGAACGCACGGCGCATGCGCAGTCGTGCATATTAACCGCTGTGCGTTCCACTGCCACCTGCAGGCGGTTTACGGTATTTAATTCACTGCTTTAACCGCCAGCCACCCAAAACGCACTCTCCGCTCCTCACAAGACCTCCTCTCTAGTTCCCTGGTCTCCTCCTCCCATGCCCGCCTCCAGGACTTCTCCAGGGCATCACCCATCCTCTGGAACTCCCTGCCCTAACCCATCAGATTATCACCTACTCTCCTCTCCTTTAGGCGCTCCCTGAAAACCCATCTCTTCAGGGAAGCCTACCCCACCCCCTGCTAATTGCCGATCTCCTCCGTTCTTCCCACCACTCCATCCCCCACAGCTATCTCCTCCTGTGCCAACATCCCCTCCCTCCTAGATTGTAAGCTTCAAGGAGCAGGGCCCTCGAACCCCCCTCGTGTATTGCATTATATTGTTACTGTACTGTCTCATGTATTGTCTCCCATTGTAATGTACAGCGCTGAGCGAACTGTTGGCGCTTTATAAATACTGTATAATAATAATAAACAGGCTGAAATGCTGTAATACAGACAGTTAATGGCTGGAGGTCTCCTCTGCTATACTGAAGCTTCTATCTTCAAAACCCAGGTATCTGTTTCTATATCGCACACAATTCTAAAGTTGCAAGAAAAAGTATGTGAACCCCTTGGGATTACGTGGAGTTTTGCATGAATTGGGCACAAAATGTGCTCTGAACGTCATCTAAGTCACAACAATAGAAGAACACAGTCTGCTGAACATAATACTACACAAACATTAGATGTTGCCATGGTTTAATTGCACATAACATGTAAACATTCACAGTGCAGGGAGGAAAAAGTATGTGAGGCCCTAGCTTAATGGCTTCTCCCAGAGCTAATTGGAGCCAGGAGTGAGCCAACCTTGACTCCAATCAGTGTGATGATATTGGATGTGTTGCTGACACCTGTTTTGGGTTTACTGGTTTCAAGAAGCACCAATCCCAAGGGGTTCACATACTTTTTCTTGCAACTGTACAATATATATGTGAAGCGCTGCGTACATTGACAGCCCTATATAAGTACCTGAAATAAATAAAATGAGTCACTATTGAGGTAATGCGCAAGCTTTGTGCGCTCTTTTCTTTCATCCCCTTCTACAATTTGAGGAGCGGCACCTTAGACTTGAATGGAAGGCTTCAACTCCTCCGGACTCAACACGAGGGCCATTCACACTACATGTTTCAGTTGTTTTCTCTGCATCCAAAACGCACAGAAAGTAGGTGATATGGTTGTCAATGTCATAGTTCACATCAGCGCTAATTGTAGTGCGTTGCAGGTGCTGCCAAAAAAGTCGAACAGGCTGCATTGTTTATGCGTAGAACTGTACTGGAACGCAGTAAAATGCCCTGGAATGCACTAAAACGCACATGTCCCTAATTAAATTGAAGAAAAAGAGAGGGGAAAAAAATTAACTGGAATGCATTAAAAATGCACCGGAACATGTCAAAAACTCATCCAAAATGCTCTGGAACACGTCAAAAACTCATCCAAAATGCTCTGGAACACGTCAAAAACTCATCCAAAATGCTCTGGAACACGCTAAACATCCATCAAAAAAGTACATTAAAAAAGTGCACGCAAAAACGCATCTGGAACACATCTATACTGTGTTTCTATAGTGTGAACTGGCCCTTAGGACTTGTTCACACCGTTTGTGGTGCAGAAACGCATGCAAGAGCTCGCATTTTCCAGCACAGCAAAGAAACGCAATGCCCTCTGCAGATGTGCGCAGGTACCATGATGAAAACTTAATTGCAGCTCCACATGTCTAGTAAACACAGATGCATTCACAGCCACCAAAACGCATGGCACCACACTACTGTGCGGTTAGGTACAGCACAATTTTACAATAACATGCCTGCAGTATTTTTGCATGTTCCCACACGTTAGGCAGCCTATTGAAATGAATGAGCTGAGGAAAAAAAAAAAAAAAAAGTAAAAAAAAATGCCCCATTCACGCAGGTCTTCTGTCCTGTACAGCATGAATGAGGGGGTTGTTCATGTGGCTGGAGCCACCTGTTACACTATGGGGACATGGCAGCTGTATGAACACAGGTTGTCATCTGACAGGTGTGCAGGCGTGGGGAAGTGGCCCTGAATGCTCACTGTCTGTGTTCAGGGCTGTACACCTGCACCCATATGCTTGTCAAATTAGGACCTGCAGCATTTCCATTGTGTAACATAGGTTGCCTGCAAACGGCGACAGTCACTAAAACTTGAACCATACCAGGCCACATGCCCTCAACATGGGGGGGTGCTTTGGGGCAAAGGGGGCTCCCCCCCCCAAAGCACCTTGTCCCCATGTTGATGGGGACCAGGGCCTCTTCCCCACAACCCTGGCCGGTGGTTGTGGGGGTCTGCGGGCAGGGGGCTTATTGGAATCTGGAAGCCCCCAGATCCTGCCCCCCTCACTATGTGAATGAGTATGGGGTACATGGCACCGCTACTCATTCACCAAAAACAAAAAGTGTAGTGTAATAAAAGACAGGCACAATTTCCACAGGGAGGAAGTGAGGAATGGGGAAGTGCTTTTTTAACCACTTGAGCGCCCAGGCCTTCTCTCCCTAAATCTCGAGTAGCAGAATAGTGGGAGTGGTTTAAATTGCGCTACCTAATGGGGCGTGGCTTAAAGAGGGCATGGTTAGAGTGCTTAACAAATCTTGAGTGCAATTAAGAAGCAGTTCATTGCTGGCTGTGGAATGCTTACTTCACAGAGTTCCTTTTTATTTCATTTTTTTTATCTTGAATATTGTTCCGCTTTCTTCATTTTGAATACCCCGACAGGCTCTTAGCAAGGTGCATTAAGATAAATGAACAAGGAACTGTTCACGTAATGTACAGGAGAGGGGTACAGAGTGTATGGGGGGGCGGTATGTACAGGAGAGGGGTGTGGAGTGTATGGCGGGGGGCGGTATGTACAGGAGAGGGGAGCAGAGTGTATGGCGGGGGGGCGGTATGTACAGGCGGGGGGCGGTATGTACAGGAGAGGGGAGCAGAGTGTATGGCGGTGGGCGGTATGTACAGGAGAGGGGTGTGGAGTGTATGGTGGGGGGCGGTATGTACAGGAGAGGGGTATGGAGTGTATGGCGGGGAGCAGTATGTACAGGAGAGGGGTACAGAGTGTATGGTGGGGGGCGGTATGTACAGGAGAGGGGTGTGGAGTGTATGGTGGGGAGGGCGGTATGTACCGGAGAGGGGTGCAGAGTGAATGGTGGTGGGCGGTATGTGCAGCGCTGCATAGTGAGAGTGCCCCCAAGGTCAGAGCTGGCCCAATGGGGCTCAATGTGCTCATCTATGGGAACACTGTTGGTCAGAGCACAGCCCTTCCCTTGGACCCCGCTAGGTGACAGGGCCCAGGCCCCCTACAGGAGGCCTGGTGGTACCCCCTTATCGGTGGCCCTATGGTGCAGCAAGTGAGTGCACAGCAAGGAAAGTTTACAAAGCCCGTCACTTTGTCCTGAATTGACAAGATGTCATTGTCTCCTTAAAGGAAGACTGTCATGGGGAAAATGACGCCCTCTGCCACTGCTGACCATTCTTCTGACAACGCCTGTAGGGTGGATCCTCTGCCTGCCTGCTCAGTGCCATTAGTACAGTGTCAGTGCTTTTTATTAGCACTGATCACTGTATTCGTGACACCAAGTCAGTTCCCCCCCAGTGTCAGAATGCCCGCCGCAGTCCTGCCATAAGTCGCTGATCGCCGCCATTACCAGTAAAAATAAAATTTAAAAATCCCAGTATCTATACCGCCATTTGTGCACGCGATAACTTTCACGTAAACCAATTAATTTACACATATTGGGATTTTTTTTTTTTTTTAGCAAAGACACCGAGCAGAATACATTTTGGTATAAATTTGATTTCAAATTTTTTTACTGGACATGTTTAATAGCAAACAGTAAAAAAATATTTTTCTCAAAATTGTCGGTCTTTTTTTTTTTTTATAGTGCAAAAAAAATAAAATAAAAGCACAGGCGATCAAATACCACCAAAAGAAAACTCTATTTGTGCAGGGAAAAAAAAGGACATAAATTTCATTTGGGTTCAGTATCGCATAACCGCGCAATTGTCAGTTGAAGTAGCGCAGCGCTGTAACTCAAAAAATGGCCTGGTCAGGAAAGGGAGGGGGGGGGTGAAATCCTCTGGAGGGGGAGGGGTTAAGGCAAAGTGGCACTTTGCTTTTGGACTGAAATACTGCTATTGTGGTCTCAAAGAGGTCAGTGGGCTTTTGTTTGCACCTTCCGGATTTGTATTCCCACACAAGTCTATCCTGCTTGAAGCCGGTCACATGGAGGTTGAATGCTCCCGTCAATGGATTCTGCATCTGCCGAGAAGCATCTCAATCTGGTGTCAAGATGAAACTCTCCCTCAGTGTTATCGTATTTAAGACGTAAAGCGCAAAAAAAAGTTAAAAAAAGCGTATGGAAACCTAAATCACTAAAACTTCATATACTGTATTTTTTGCTCCATAAGACTCACTTTTTCCCCCCAAAAAAAGGGGGGAAAATGTCAGTGCGTCTTATGGAGTGAATATGGAGAGGCCGGTCCGGTATTTCCACCGCCGCGTCAGAATACCGGGCCGGACACTGAGCTCTTCTCTGCAGCAGAACCTTACCCGTTCCTCGGTCCAGCGCTGCGCAGTCTTCCTGCACCGGCTTCTATACTGTGGGCACCCGGCTGTGACAGCCGGGTGCCCAGTGCGCATGCGCGAGAAGTGCTGCGCTTTTTGAATGGTGCGGCGTCTTCTGGGACACCAGCCGGGTGCCCACACTAAAGGGAGGACAACTCTGCGGAAGTGGGAGTGGGTACCTGTCAAATTCAGGTACCTGGTCGTCCCCTGTACCGTGGCCGCAGTCTCTGGTCGTCCCCTGTACCCTGTCCGCAGTCTCCGGTCGTCTCCTGTACCGCCCCCGCAGTCTCCGGTCGTCTCCTGTACCGTCCCCGCAGTCTCCTGTACCGTCCCCGCAGTCTCCGGTCATCTCCTGTACCGTCCCCGCAGTCTCCTGTACCGTCCCCGCAGTCTCCGGTCGTCTCCTGTACCGCCCCCGCAGTCTCCGGTCGTCTCCTGTACCGTCCCCGCAGTCTCCGGTCGTCTCCTGTACCGTCCCCGCAGTCTCCGGTCGTCTCCTGTACCGTCCCCGCAGTCTCCGGTCGTCTCCTGTACCGTGTCCGCAGTCTCCGGTCATCATCTGTACCGTGTCCGCAGTCTCTGGTCATCATCTGTACCGTGTCCGCAGTCTCTGGTCGTCCCCTGTACTATGTCCGCAGTCTCTGGTCATCATCTGTACCGTGTCCGCAGTCTCTGGTCATCATCTGTACCGTGTCCGCAGTCTCTGGTCATCATCTGTACCGTGTCCGCAGTCTCTGGTCATCTCCTGTAACGTGTCCGCAGTCTCCAGTCATCATCTGTACCGTGTCCGCAGTCTCCGGTCATCATCTGTACCGTGTCCGCAGTCTCTGGTCATCTCCTGTACCGTGTCCGCAGTCTCTGGTCATCTCCTGTACCGTGTCCGCAGTCTCTGGTCATCTGTACTGTGTCCGCAGTCTCTGGTCATCTCCTGTACTGTGTCCGCAGTCTCTGGTCATCATCTGTACTGTGTCTGCAGTCTCTGGTCATCCCCTGTACTGTGTCCGCAGTCTCTGATCATCTCCTGTACTGTGTCTGCAGTCTCTGGTCATCCCCTGTACTGTGTCCGCCGCAGTCTCTGGTCATCCCCTGTACTGTGTCCGCAGTCTCTGGTCATCTCCTGTACTGTGTCCGCAGTCTCTGATCATCTCCTGTACTGTGTCCGCAGTCTCTGGTCATCTCCTGTACTGTGTCCGCAGTCTCTGGTCATCATCTGTACTATGTCTGCAGTCCATTGGTTCAGAATATTTTTTCTTGTTTTCCGCCTCTAAAATCTAGGTGCGTCTTATGGAGCGAAAAATACGGTAATCTTTTGCATGTTAATGTCTTTTCAAAATCCATTCTATTTTTAAATTTGCAGCTTTTGCTAAAATATTCCCCGGTGATCCCGCCACAAAGGTCTTTGTTTAGGTTCTTCCTGTCATAGGGTGTTGCTCTATCATTGTCTCCCAATTTTGCTGCTGTTGTGACTCTGTCTACATAGACTACCCACATGGAAAAAAAATATATTTGAAATATATTTTAAAAATATTTTTCCCAAATATATTGACATATATTTGAAATGCTACAATTTTGGACATTCAATATATTGCAATAAATATATACACATACATACTGTACATATATCCATACACACATACAGTGCATGTTGAAATGTTTTTATTACAAAATATATAAAACATTTTTAAAAATACATTTTCAAATATACTGTATGTCTTTAAAAATACAAATCTACATTTTTGGAATGCATTTATATGTTAAAATGACTTTGTGTTACAAAAATCTGAAGAATATATTTAAAAAAATATATATTTTTTTAAATATATTCTTCTGATAAAAACAGTTAAATACAAGACAAATAAAATCAAATGGAAAGCATGTCACAAGGGATGCAATGTGGTCCAAGACCCCTGAAGGTAGTCTGGTGGGGGACTGTAGACCTCTGGATAGCTGGTGGCTGACACGTTTCCAGGTTGTACCTCTTCCTCGGAGCCAGTTGAATGAATGGCAATACAGATTACCTATAAGTAGAAAATCCTGAGAAATGTAGAAAAAGGCAGTTTTCAGACAGCCCAGCTCCCAACACCGAGATTTACACTTCTAATATACAGGATCTGTATGCACCGGGGCTCTGGCTTCAAATCCATTTTCTGAAAGTGTTCCTAGAATCTTCCTTCAAATAGTGGAAGAAAAGTTTACATTGTAAGTATATATTTCTTCTACATATTTCCTTCGCTGGACAGATCTACGGTTGTCAGGTACGGCTCCATTCTAGATGGGGAGAACACATCGTCCTCTGTGTGGTGGTACATCTTCGGGGACACCATTGTTCTTCACAACCCTTTTTTCCCATGAAATTCTGAAAATATAAAAATGGCAGAAATACAGCTCAGCAGGTGGCAGAAATATCACTACAGACCCAATAAGACACAAATGTCTCCCTAGCCAAGAAATAGGGTTTACTTTCTGTAAAATCCACTGAGGGACACATAATAATAATAAAATAGTTGGGCTCTACTGCTGCCTACAGGAGGCTTGGACACTGGCAAACAGGAAGATTACAGGCCAGCCCAGGATAACCCCCTCCTACCCAGCATGCCATTGAGCACAAGCTTGAGAAGAGAGAAAATTATTTTTTTGACAATTAAATAAATCCTATTTTCTTTTTTCGTCCATTGAGGGACACAGGAATTCAGAAACAGTTGGGACATCCAAAGGCAGAGGGGTGGACAACGCAGCTGCACACACTAAAAGGCCCACAAGAAACCAGTAGGCACTGTATGCAGCCCAAGAACTGCCTGAAGGACCAACACCCACTGAGTCCCTTATTGGATAGGGAAGTCTGTCAACATGACCAGAGAATCAGCCTGGTGCCCAAGACCAGAATAGAAAGGGTCACCATCTGAGGGCAATGACTCCACATGGAAAGGAAAATCAACCTGAATCAACAAGAAGCTGATCAATCAGAAACCACCAAGACAGGTGGAAAAACAGCCATTTCCCGTGTAGAGAAAAAAAATTACCCACAACCGGATGTGGACCTGTGTGGTCAAAAAGATGATGGGATCAAGGCCCTAAAGAACAGGTTCAATGAACCTAAAGCAGAACAAATCCTGGTGAAAATTCAATGGGATCAAGTCCCTGAAGAACAGGTTCAAGGAACCCAAAGCAGAACAAGTCCTGGTGAAACGACAATGGGATCAAGTCCCTGAAGAACAGATTCAAGGAACCCAAAGCAGAACAAATCCTGGTGAAACAACAATGGGATCAAGTCCCTGAAGAAAGGTTCAAGGAACCCGAAGCAGAACAAGTCCCGGTGAAAAGACAATGGGATCAAGTCCCTGAAGAAAAGGTTCAAGGAACCAAAAGCAGAACAAGTCCTGATGAAAAGAAGGAAAAGGCCCTAGACTTTGCACCCTTCACTGCTATAATCAAGGGACAAAAAAATCTGTGTCAAAAGAATGGTCTAGTCAGACAGCTATCCTTGCTAAGGAAGACTTACCAAGGAGAACCCTGAAGCATCTAGAACACAACAGTCTGCAAGAAGTGTGACATGAATCCTGAGACCACCAGAGAATTCAAGAATTTGATCCCTCAAAGTCAACATGACTGAAGGACTGGGGTCCATGGGAGGCATACTCACAAGGATAGGCAGGAGGGAAGCATTAGACCTTAGCCTCATAAATGGTGAATCCAGTTGAATAAAAGGGACCGGTCTATCCCGGACCTTGACTATGGGTTCAGGAATACTCCAGGCCCTCAGGTTAGACGAAGCATCAGCATCTATGGAGGAACAACAGGAATCTTAGCAGAAAAGCAAAGACATCCGTCTGGAAAGGGCTCTGCAGAAATTTTTACCAGTATGTGATGACTAAAAAATGCCCCAAGTGGAACCCAGTGGCCAGAGGTCACATTCCAGGCTGGCCTTGCAAAGTCCAGGCCCATGGGGTCCATGTATGGCACTCCATAGTCAGGCTGATGGAATGCTAATCTGGATTTCTGCTATGTATAGACCGGCTCAAGCAGCAATATAGTGAGGGATCTTAATTGTAGTTGATGGAAGAAAAAATAGGCTAGCAAAGATTAGACTTTTCTCAGCAGGGCTGGAGAATCACCTTCCTCCTCGGACACCATGTGGAGGAGGGGTTACCCTGGGCTGGCCTATAATTATTTTGTTTGCCATTGTCCGATCCTCCTGGAGGTATATAACCTGACTGTATCTGAATTTCTGTGTCCCTCAATGGATGAGAGAAAGAAACATTATTAAACTACAGTGACAGGCAGGGGCAGACTGACCATTCGAGCCCTCGGGCACTGCACGAGGGCCCGGGGTCAGTAGGGGGCCCCATGAGATGCCCCTGGTACCTTTCATTGGCTTTTTCATATGCTTTTTTGGGTTTGGGCAAGGATACAGGGTCCCCATGAGTTGTCAGTCCACCCCTGGTGACAGGGCTGTTTGCACCTTAATCAAACTGTTTCCAACTGTCACCTGTACCAACAAAAACTATCCCCCTGTACCCCCCCTGTACCTAGACTTGAACCATAAAACTTGTGTCACATGTATTCCACCTCCAATCCCATCCCAAGATGGCCAACACATCAGAGAGCCCTGAGGTGCTTCAATCAGACCTATACATTGGAACGGACCAATAAAGAGGAACAGGAAAATGGAAATGCCCATCTTTCCTGGAGAAAAAGGAAACTTCGGGCTCCTTCCAGTGCTGCTCACAGGTTTGCTGAAAGGGATGATTAGTCATCCTAACCTCTTATCTCTCCTTCACCTACATTCACATGACCAAATGCTAAAACTTAGAGGTATGCAAGCAACACTAGCCTGACTCAAAAGCAGCAGTTCCTCCAGAAAAAACAAATCTACCTTTGTTACTTTTTATTCATTTTGCCGAGAGTGTTAAAGTGTTCCTGTCATCTAAAAGCATACCTGCTATAAGGAGGGAGAATATACTTACCTTTCCAGCAGCCAAGGTCTTGAAATGCTGCTACTTCGCTTCTTCCCTACAAATATGTAACCAGCAGGACGGGTTGAATACCTGTTTCCCCTGCTGGATGCTTTGGTTCCTTCTGCCCAGCTCATACATCTTGCAGTGACTTACAAGCCAGCTGGAGGAACCACAGCGTGTGGCAGAGGAGTGGGTGGAATGCATGCAGCAGCCAAGAAGCACTGACCGGCGGGATTTCAAGACAAGGCCTTCCGGAAATGTATTATTATTATTATACAGGATTTATATAACGCCAACAGTTTGCTCAGCACTTTACAATATAACGGGAGACAATACAGCAACAATACAAGAGGGTTAGGAGGGCCCTGATCCTGGGAGCTTACAATCTAAGAGGGAGGGGCTAGTGGTAGAAAAGGTAAAAACTGTGGGGGATGGACTGGTAGGAGGAATATTGGATTCTGTTATTAGCTGAGGGCAGGATAGGCTTCCCTGAAGAGATCGGTTTTCAGAGATCACCTAAAAGTGAGCAGAGTAGGCGATAGTCTGATAAATTGGGGAAGAGAGTTCCAGAGGATGGGGGAAGCTCTGGAGAAGTCCTGGAGATGAGCATGGGAGGAGGAGACAAGGGAGCTAGGAAAGTTATATATATTCCCTCTCTTTTAGCAGATACACTTTATTGTAGAAGTAAGCCTCAGCTGACAGGGTCACTTTAAAGGAGAAGTTCGTGTTTCAACAAAAAATAATAAATTCACTTTTTTTTTTTGCAGGTAAAACTAATGTGCATTTATTATATTTTGTTGTAGGAGCCTGGGAAAGCATTGCACCAGCGATCATCAGATCGTTGGTGCCATGCAGGTCTTCTGCAGGTTGTCGGTGTAGTCTCCAAGTAAATTTAAACAAACACTTGTACTCAGAATCTAAACAGCACAAATGAATAGAGGAGCACATTTGAAGGCAATAATAATAATATGATATATATGGAGAAATGCAGCGTTAATTATACAATGTTCTTCTAGCACTACAAATGTGATAAAGTCCATATATCTCCCACATGGATAGAAGTAGGAGCAGAAGAGGAAAAATCTGATCCAAATAGCCGTCACCATCCACCCAAATAAAGGTTCGACCGCACAAAAAGTCGGGCAACATGAGCGATATGATATATCCTCAGATGCAGCAGCAATGGATCGTCAATAGAAATCCCCTCTAATCCAATGAGTAGATTCTCCAACTTCAGTAAAACTCCAATTGGTAAAATCTCCCATCAAGTGGGAAAGGAGCGCATCAAGAAGAAAGGCAACTCAGTGTAGTATTTAAACTCAAAAGCAATCAATTTATTTAAGTTCCACGTACTTGAATGAATAAACCAACCAGCATGGTGCAAACAGAATGTTTCCAACCAACAAGATGGCCGCTGTCCCTCTAGAGCACGATGACGTCACGACGTGGCTCCACCCAACGCACTTCATCATCAAAAAAGTCAGGGGAGTGGCAATGCATCGCTGCCTATAAATAGAGCTTGGAAGGACACGCCCCCTAATTGAGATGCGCTCCAGATAACCAGAAGACACACCAAGAGTGGGGGAGTACAAGAACAAATGGGCCTCAGAGGAACCTCCCACTCCTTGGAATGCGCTCCAAAGACAGGAACAAGCCTCAATAGGAAGGATCACCAACCAGGAGGGATCACACAGCAACCCCCCCTCATTATAAGTGGTACACTCACAACGGGTCTCGATTCATTTATTAAAAGGTATATAAAACAAAAAGAGCCTAAATCCCTCATCAATAAAACTGAGCTAATAATATATTAATATATAACAACTTCAAATAAATAAAAAATGAATCAACTGTAATAAAGGGACAGAGCCATCTTGTGGTGACAAAACAGATTACAATACAACTTAAAAAAAAATTAAAATAAAAATTTAAAATAAATGCACTAAACCTCAACTATTAATAAAAGCATTTACATCGCACTCAATGTTGAGGCCAAAATGGAACACAGGTTTTAAGGGAACAAATCCATAAGGTCTCCAGTTTGGAGATTTCTCGTCTGGATTTTTATTATGGTATTTGGCATAATGCTTTGAATGGCTATGATTGAGAAAACCCCTACAAATGTTCCTGATGTGTTCAACCAACCTGGTGCGCAACAGGCGTACTGTTTGACCCACATATTGTAACCCACATGGGCATCAAATTAAATAGACCACATTCTTAGTGGAACATGTCATGAAGTGTCCAATATTATAAGTTTTAGAAGTACAACCAGAATGAAAGGTAGTAAACTTCCGGAGCTTCTGAGCATTGATATAACAAGCTCAACATTTCCTACATGGATAATACCCCTTCATATGCTGAAAGAATAGAGGTTTGCTTTTTTTTTTAGGAGGATCCAAAACATTAGGGGCTACATCAGGGGCGGACTGACCATTTGGAAACTCGAGCACTGCCCGAGGGCCCGGGGTCAGTAGGGGGCCCCATGAGATGCCCCTGGTACCTTTTTCATAGGCTTTTTTGAGTTTGGGCAAGGATACAGGAGCCCCATGATCCCCTATTGCCTGGGGCCCCATGAGTTGTCAGTGTGCCCCTGGGCTACACTCAATCTAAGTGGTGGGACACCTCTAAACACAATGGCAGGAGTTTCTGGTAAAAGTGGACCCAACAATTTAACATTTTTATCACCCCCCCCCAGTGTTTGCAGACAATATTTTTTACTGCATAGTGTTGAGCAGGGGGCGGACTGACAACTCATGGGGCCCCCGGGCAATAAGGGATCATGGGGCCCCTGTGTCTTCTTCCACACTCAAATCACACCCAAAAAAGCCTATGAAAAAGGTACCAGGGGCATCTCATGGGGCCCCCTACTGACCCCGGGCCCTCGGGCAGTGGCCGAGTTGCCGAATGGTCAGTCCGCCCCTGTTGTTGATTAGAATATGTAGTAAAAAAAACTGCATGATTAAAGGAGGAATTGGCCTCAACTGGTTGTTTCGGTCTTAACATATCCTCTCGTGGAGTAACATCAACTTGAAGCAAAGCCTCCTCCAAGGCCTCCAATTTATAGCCCCCATCTAGAAAGCGTGGTTTCCAGATATCGTACTGCTCATGTTGACTGACATTTTGTGCGGTCAAACTTCCCAGTAAGAGGCCAATTTGTTTGGGTGGATGGTGACGGCTATTTGGATCAAATTTTTCCTCTTATGCACCGACTTCTATCCATGTGGGAGATATATGGACTTTATCACATTTATAGTGCCATTGTATAATTATCGCTGCATTTATCCATATATATATATCCTGTCAGGGTAGTCTGCCTGCTCGTGCCTTGTACAGTACGGAGCAGGCAGACTACTCTGACAGGATGAATCTATGAACTACCACAACACTCAACAGTGCCGCGATAGTGCCTTGTCGGCTTGCAGTCCTCATCTGCAAAGGCTGTCAGATCTCCAGTTTCCCATTCACAGATCTCTAAGAATGAATGATGAGGCAACATTTAAAAAAAAAAAAAAAACCACAGGGGATCGAGGGGGAGGGGGATTAACATGTTACACCCTGAATATAGGTGTAATATGTACAGTCAGGTCCATAAATATTGGGACATGGACACAATTCTAACATTTTTGGCTCTATACACCACAATGGATTTGAAATGAAATGAACAAGATGTGCTTTAACTGCAGACTGTCAGCTTTAATTTGAGGGTATTTACATCCAAATCAGGTGAACGGTGTAGGAATGACAACAGTTTGCATATGTGCCTCCCACTTGTTAAGGGACCAAAAGTAATGGGGACAGAATAATAATCATAAATCAAACTTTCACTTTTTAATACTTGGTTACAAATCCTTTGCAGTCAATGACAGCCTGAAGTGTGGAACGCATAGACATCCCCAGACGCTGGGTGTCATCCCTGGTGATGCTCTGCCAGGCCTCTACTGCAACTGTCTTCAGTTCCTGCTTGTTCTTGGGGCATTTCCCTTCAGTTTTGTCTTCAGCAAGTGAAATGCTCAATCGGATTCAGGTCAGGTGATGGACTTGGCCATTGCATAACATTCCACTTCTTTCCCTTAAAAAACTCTTTGGTTGCTTTTGCAGTCTGCTTTGGGTCATTGTCCATCTGCACTGTGAAGCGTCCAATGAGTTGTGAAGCATTTGGCTGAATATGAGCCGATAATATTCCCGAAACACTTCACAATTCATCCGGCTGCTTCTGTCAGCAGTCACATCATCAATAAATACAAGAGAAGCAGTTCCATTGGCAGCCATACATGCCCACGCCATGACACTACCACCACCATGATCACTGATGAGGTGGTATGCTGAGGACCATGAGCAGTTCCTTCTCCATACTCTTCTCTTCCCATCACTCTGGTACAAGTTGATGTCGGTCTCATCTGTCCATAGGATGTTGTTCCAGAACTGTGAAGGCTTTTTTACATGTCGTTTGGCAAACTCTAATCTGGCCTTCCTGTGTTTGAGGCTCACCAATGGTTTCCATCTTGTGGTGAACCCTCTGTATTCACTCTGGTGAAGTCTTCTCTTGATTGGTGACTTTGACACACATACACCTACCTCCTGGAGAGTGTTCTTGATCCGGCCAACTGTTGTGAAGGGTGTTTTCTTCACCAGGGAAAGAATTCTTCGCTCATCCACCACAGTTGTTTTCCGTGGTCTTCCGGGTCTTTTGGTGTTGCTGAGCTCACCGGTGCGTTCCTTCTTTTTAAGAATGTTCCAAACAGTTGTTTTGGCCACGCCTAATGTTTTTGCTATCTCTCTGATGGGTTTGTTTTGTTTTTTTCAGCCTAATGATGGCTTCACTGATAGTGACAGCTCTTTGGATCTCATCTTGAGAGTTGACAGCAACAGATTCCAAATGCAAATCGCACACTTGAAATGAACTCTGGACCTTTTATCTGCTCATTGTAATTGGGATAATGAGGGAATAACACACACCTGGCCATGGAACAGCTGAGAAGCCAATTGTCCCATTACTTTTGGTCCCTTAACAAGTGGGAGGCACATATGCAAACTGTTGTAATTCCTACACCGTTCACCTGATTTGGATGTAAATACCCTCAAAGTAAAGCTGACAGTCTGCAGTTAAAGCACATCTTGTTTGTTTCATTTCAAATCCATTGTGGTGGTGTATAGAGCCAAAAATGTTAGAATTGTGTCCATGTCCCAATATTTATGGACCTGACTGTATGTAGCATGTTATGACAGGTGAACTTATCCTTCTACATAGTTTTTTTTTTGTTCACATTTCAGTATAGGTTCACAATGAATCGACAGGCTCTTTGTAGGTAACTGTCACTCACCTGATATACAATGTAGATGATGATCACCAATCCAACGGGCAGTGCTGCAGCAACAAGAGGAACCCGGACTCTTCCATTAACTGAACCAGAATCTGTCAGAAACCAAATGCAACGCATAGTAAATATACAACCGAGGAGTTCTATCACTTTGTGAAAATGACATCATCTAATCTAGTCATCGATGTGATTTATTTTATATAAACCATCACACTGATCTGTGGTATCCCCGATGCAGAACAGGAACAAAACATGAAACAATGTTACTATCCTGTGTCACCCTCCCACTATGACCTCCCAGAGAAGAGACAGGATGACCCCGATCTATAACACCCCAATACATGGAATATAACATGACCCCCCCCATAGTCACCAATACCTTCTGCTTCCAGCATTCTGATGAACATTATATCATTGATCGGCCGGTATTCCCGGATCTCCTCACTGACCGGGTTGGTGATCCTGACCCGGAATCTCCTGTCGGCGTCGTCTCTCTGCACACTGGGGATAATCAGCGTCCTATTGTCATCTATCAGCCGGTATCTTTCAGGGAGGGGCTCCCCGTCCACCTCCCAGGTCACAGCGCTCTCTTCTCCAGAGAACTGGACGCTCACCGCCATGTCCTCACCCAGCCGGCTGCCATTACTGGTGATGTTGGAGATGAGAACTGGATCTGGAATGATCAGAAGGACAGTCACCATCAGTCATTGGTCACCAGCACAGAGCCAAATACAGGGAACAGAGTGCTAGCTCTTGTACACACACTGATTAGGCATGTGATCTGCCCTCCCCCTACATATAATCCCAGTGTTACTGCTCTCTGCAGAAGGAGTGTATTACTTCATAGATACATAGTTAGTCTGGCTGAAAAAAAAGACAAAAAAGTCCATCCAGTTCAACCACAGAAAAAAACAAAAAGTTATAATCCTATATCCACAGTTGATCCAGAGGAAGGCAAAAAACCCAGCAAAGTAGGGAAGGAAAGTGAGCTGCAGTACAGCGGCATCACTCCTCCAGGGCACTTCCCTTGCATCTCTGCAGGGTGCTTCAGGTCCACAACGCTGTGACTGTCAGCAATGATTCTTTCAAACTTCCTCCACTTCAGTGCCGATCACACTGCAGCCACAAACAGACCTCAGATTTTGCAGCAATCCTGCAGCTCAGAGAGGAGGGAGACCCCCTCCTTAGCCAGGATGTCCAACACAACAAACACTATTCTCCTGCGCTGGGAAAGGACTCAGTAGACCCAATAGGAATGTTCTGGAATTGTCTGGAATATGCACTGCTTGCTGCCCTGAACAGACCGGGATGGTCCAAATACACTGGATACAAATGGAGAAACAGAAAAAGGGCGCACCGACCTAGTGCATTATCGTTTAAAATATTTAATGAAGAAACAAAAGTAAGTATCATACTCACAATGGACATAAAAACACAGGCATGTCAAACTGAACAAGATGTATGATCCAAGCAACATCTGAGTCCATACGATGCAACCCTGGATGACCAACTGGCTAACGCGTTTCGAGGACACAACCTCTTCCTCAGAGCCAACACTACAGGAGTCTGCACTTCTCCTTATATAAGTTACTAAATGATAACAAAAGGGCCGTATCAGAACCACCCGAAGGCGGAGCCTGACATCACATGACCCGTTAGCATCAAAGTAGAACAAAAAAAAAAAATTTTTTTAAAATAATAATTAAATAATGATTGTGAACTATATTAGAAAAAACATAAAATAAATGTGTAAACACAGGAAGATCATAGGTGGTAGAAGATGGAAAAAAATTATAGATAGATATATATGGGAGGGATAGATAGATAACGGACAAGACGGACGGGACGGACGAGACGGACGGACGAGACGGACGGGACGGACAAGACGGACGGGACGGACAAGACGGACGGACGGGACGGACAAGACGGACGGACGAGACGGACGAGACGGACGGGACGGACGAGACGGACGGGACGGACGAGACGAGACGGACGGGACGGACAAGACGGACGGGACGGACAAGACGGACAAGACGGACGGGACGGACAAGACGGACAAGACGGACGGGACGGACAAGACGGACGGACGGGACGGACAAGACGGACGGACGGGACGGACAAGACGGACGGACATGACGGACATGACGGACGGGACGGACGAGACGGACGGGACGGACGGACGAGACGGACGGGACGGACGGGACGGACGGGACGGACGAGACGGACGGGACGGACGAGACGGACGGGACGGACGAGA